AAGATTCCTTCAATTTCCTCGACGACTTCTCATCTTTCAACTCATCAACTTCTTGTCACAAATTCTTCATCTCCTACGACGTTGAAAGCCTATTTACTAACATACCACTTACTGAAACCATCAACCTAGCAATTGACCTAATATTCACTCACAACCCCAGGTTCAGTATAAACAGGACAGACCTCACACAACTGTTTTTAACAGCAACAGCACAGACGCATTTTTATTTAATGGAAAATTTTCTAACCAGACGGACGGTGTTGCGATGGGCTCACCCTTAGCACTCATACTTGCTAACATTTTCATGGGCTCACATGAACGAAACTGGCTAAACAACTACAACGACACTAAACCACTAATTTACCACAGATACGTGGACGATATTTTTTGTGTTTTTATTAACGAAACTGAGGCCATGAAGTTTTATAATTACATTAACACACAGCACGCAAACATTAGATTTTCATTTGAAACTGAACAACAAGATCAACTGCCATTTCTTGACATTTTACTAACAAAATCCCATGACAGCTGTACAACATCTACATATCACAAACCAACATACACAGGACTTCTGACGAACTATTTTACTTTCACACCACTTTCATACAAAACCGGACTTATACGCACACTAATCAACAGAGCATACAAACTTAACAATACGAACAATGGCTTTCAACGAGACATAAAAATATCACATCCACTCTTTTGCGAAACTATTTCCCACTACACTTTATTAACAGAACTGTAAAACGATATCTCGACAACAAGCAAAGCAACAACCTCAAACTAGACACCGTAACTCCTGACACGACGATCACGACCAACACAAATGAAAACTCCAAAATAAAAACTCTATACTAAAACTCAAACTACCATACATCGGACATTACTCACGACACACACAACGCAGACTTACAAACATTATGAAACGCTTCTGTACAGATATTGACATTCGACTAATTTTCACATCATTCAAAATCAAAAACCTTTTCTCATTCAAAGACCTAATCCTTGGTTCAATTAAATCTATGGTGGTATATGAATTCAATTGCGTGGGATGTAATTCCCGATACATTGGCGAAACTTCGCGCCATTTATCCACCAGAATTAGGGAACATACCACAACAGACAAAAACTCTCATATCTACCGACACCTTCTTAAGTCTCACTCATGTAAAACCAACTATTCACCCTCTTGCTTCAAAATCATAGACACTAACGACACCTCATTCTCCCTTAAAATGAAAGAAGCACTCCACATTAACAAAACTAACCCTGACCTCAATGTTCAAGTTTTTAAATTTAATACAATATTTAGTTTATAATACGCTCGGACGCTCCCCATTAATTTACCTTATTTCCTTTTTATTGTTATAATTGATGTATCATATTACTTGTACATAAACCTTGTATCATTTATTATTTCACTCATACTAAAGATGGCATCATGACCGAAACATGTCTATTCTAAAAAAACTCGTCGTGTATATTAAATGCGCATTAGCAATAGTGCTTTTACGAAATTATGGAAACTTTATTATCATTATTATTATTATCAATCTTTACGGAGGATAAGACATTTCCGTGATAAAAACTTGTAGCGTAAGGCTCTCTCCTTTTAAGTAGACTTGTCTCGTTTACAAAGAAGAGGAGTGGAAGGTTAATTTTTCCAATGTTGTTAGATGAGGTCGTTATTGTTTGTAGTTGATGGATAAAGCATTATGCTGTCAATTTTTGTTTAATAACATTCCAACTATTTAACCTTATAAAAATTATTTAAAAATAAAATATTAGAAGCTCTCGCATGAATTATCACTGCTTTATTCAAAAGTTTCACTGTGCAATTTCCATTTGCAAAAATCTATTTCGAACATCTCGTATATTTTGGTTTTACTTTGTGTTGTCAACTTCCGTGTATCAAAAATGATAAAAATATTATAAAACATGACATTAAATCAGAGTGGAAGCCGTTCCTTTGAGCTTAAATAAAGCAGTATAATTTATGCGACAGCAAATTGTTTTTTAAAGCGTGTATGATTTCTATTTTTTCGATGAAAAAATTTTCTGATTATTGTAGGTATGGCTGTCAATTTTCAACGAACCTTGTCCATCGCGGCACAAAATTCGGGTCTAACTAACCTTCTGACGTCATGGGGATTGTCGGCATTTAGCTTTGTTGTATTGCCGGCTTTTAGTCGATGATTGTGTTATGTGTTATACCTGAAAGATCCGATAATGTCAAATAACAATTCGTAGGAGAGTTATGAACCTGACAATTCTGACATAAATTTCATTTTGGGGGTACATAATGGCTAATGCATGCCTTTGCAAATTCATCTCATAATGAAGGCTTGTTAATGTAAAGGCACTTCTTTCTCGTTCAATGTGTAATAACGGCTTTCACAAACCTTAACTAGCTTTAGCAACATGACAAGTCAAAATCTTATTAGCAAAATGACGACGATGTATTTGACTCCGCGATGTAAGTGACTTTTCAAATTAACGTCTTCGAGACAAATTTATGTTTTTGGTGTTACCATAACGAGACGATATTAGGATATACTATCCAATTTTGAAATTTTAACACTTGTGGTTTGCAATTAACAATCTCTTAATTTAATTACGATCTGTTTAAAATTGCGAATCAATCTCGTTCTGCTATGTTCTTCATATGCGTCTTCACAGTTTTGCGTATATACGCAGTCAGTACGGTGATTAGTCTGTGTTATACTAGTCAAGTAAAAGTAGAACTTCTAGAACTGAATAATTTTTGACGTTTAAGTGTGAGACATAGTGTGATGGATTTTTTACATTTTCTACTTTTTATGATTTCTATTATCTTATCTATATATGCTATATTTTTTATTGAAGTCAAGATATATGTATAAAGATTATAGTCTTTGAGTAAAAAGTCTTAATAAATTTTAAAATTCAAGAAGGAAATTATGAAATTGATAATTATTTCTTTAAATAATGTTAAATTACATTACATTATACCGCAAATACGCACTGTGATGCTTTTTTTCCGATCGTGCGTGCGTTGACCGAAAGCAACTCTTATGTGGGAACCGCAATTGTTACTTTATTTCCGAAACAAACATTTTTATTGTCCAAAAACCTGAAAAACTGTTTACACGACATAGTGTCAATGAATACAACGAATATAAGTTCTGTTAAGTATCAAAATTCATTAAAAGCTAGTGCGCCGGGCTCTAGTGTACGACGTGCAAACCGATTGTTATCAGTGCTGGACTGCCACGTTTCCCAAGTGCGGTGCGTAATCGGAAGTAGCACTTGAATATTTACCATTCTAAGTGCGGTACTTAACAGGGAGCGGTTTCAAAATTAGCGTTGACAGTGGCGTTGACGATACTAAATGTCTGGGGGCGGTTTTACGAAATGCGTTTACTTCGCCAACCACCGTTCAAATCGCTATACACCGTATAAATTTTATACGCTTGAAGAATTGGATTTTACGAAGCCTATTTCAATCTATCCACCGGTTAAATCGACTGTGTAAACGGTCTAAGAAGATCATATATCCACTGTATAAACGGTCTAAGGAGATCATTTATAATAGCTGTGTGGAAATGTTTTTGTAGTATGGCTTACAGATTATCTGAAATTCATTTCTACGCTCTCCTTTGAGTAAATATACAGGCTCATTAAAGTTATAGATGTAAAATAGGAGATGAAATAATGGAGTGAAACACACGATGTTTTATCGTTTAGTCGAGAAACTACCCATAAAATAAATTAGGTCTTCTCAAAAACATTTCCACCGATAATTCAAAAAGTGAAAAAGCATTTTGTCGTCTTATTTGAATCATAATCTGTATTCTGAAGATGTTACTGTCTTTTTTGAAATTTGTTATTCCAATCTATGTCTTGTCAAGAACGAAGTAGTCAAATAAAAAATCGCAGACAGCTAATTTCTGTCTCAAAATTTTATAATATTCACAACGCTACGATTTTTGCATATAAAGATTTTAAAAAGACATAGTTGCTGATATAAACAAATGTACTGCCGATAAAATTATATTTCTTGATTTTTCCCTTTGATTTGTTAAATAGTAAAAACCTGATTTGATCCTGCTCTGCCAAGATATCACACATGTCCCTAAGACTTTGCATCAGTTGCATGTTGCAAAGATACACTGAATTGTGATGGTTACCCAAATCCTGTATTATACGTGCCGTCCTTTCCCACTATTGTGATTTTACATTTGTGCTAGAACTTTGCATTGACATTTGATATAAAATAAAAATAAAGTTTAGAATCAAACCTTTGAAAAATGACGAATAATGGCCACGATAGAGAATTATATCAACTTATATATTGTTGCTATAGCAACCAAAAAATGCATCTTAATTTCCGTATGTTGGCTTTTCACAAAAACAGATCTCCGGAGCAAGAATTGTTGAAAGTATTGTGTGTGTATTAATTACAAATTTCGTCAATTTCGGATTTTCTTTGCTGCATCACTACGCTCAGTCTGATTTCGCAACAATAAAAAAATTTCGCTGCAAGGGCCAACACAGTGTTAAGTGGGTACATTTCCTACGTCACAGGAAACAGCAGGGATGGGTTTTGCTGTAATTAGTTGTGAATACGTGTCCCCTCTTTCAATATGCAGGAATAAATAGGTGCTCGTCAGTCTCTATGCGTATTTGAAGAAGCATTTAGCTGAACGGACAGATACAGACCAAGGTGATATATTTCAACTGTAAGTAATAAATAGACATGTTACACAGTTAAAGTGGTACATTCCATCATTGATTGAGATTTGTGTTTTGGAGATTTTTTACCAGTTTCAAGTATTACTTGAAATTATCGAACGTAAAATTTAATGCAGATCAGTCGCGCTGATCGAATTTGCATGTAATTTATCTTTTCTTTTATAGTTTTTGCTTGAGACGGTTGGACAAAATGGATTTTATAGGTTATGAAAAATATAAAGTACGCATTACAACTTTACGAATAATGTACAAGTACTTGGGCTTTTAACATGTAATATTTATCATTGCCTCATGACCCGGTCATTCTGACTGCTTGCGTATGATTTTTACTCGATCTTTTTACTCAATCTGAAACTAAAAAGTGTAAAGCATCTTGAAACTGCTTTTCTGTTTGAATTAAAAAAAACTAATTGAGAACTATTTCGCTCGACCTTCACATTTAAAGTTGACGACTATAAGCACTTGGTAGATAAACATGCTCAATATAATACACATTTTCATAGGTGCTTTGGCAACGGGAAAATTGTGCCAAACTTACATTTAAGCCTTTATCTTTTAGATACTAAATGAGGCAGTTAATGTACTGGAGGTCACAGTCGTGAAGGCCGAAAATGTTACTAATGGTGCATTTTCTGACGCATGTAAGTACTAAGCAATAAACAGTCACTTTATCCTCGAGTTCTGATTTCTGTTCAGTTCAAAACTACTGAAACTTGGTGTATATACAAAAAAGAAAAAATTTTCAACTCTGTTCGTGGCCACTTGAACACAAAAACCTCAAATTCTAACAAACTTTTAATCACTACAAAATTTCACGATACCTTATTCAAGGTCACGTTCTACTGCGCTGCATGATTTCCCTTGTATTTGCTTTGTTGTTAATTTCGTACAGACAAAAAGCAAAATTTTAGGCCTCAATTTTCAACATTAGCTGAGGTATTTCGTCTTGGGACTGAACAAACACTTAAGCAATTTTGTAACCTAATGTAAGTTTGGTAACTAGAATGTATTGCTCATACTTGAATTTTTTTTTAACTTGATCGAATTTCAATTAATTGCTGGTATGCCAATAGATTTACTTGGAAAATAGTTCATATGGTATATTCATGCGTTTGCAGTAATATTTAACCCAAATAACCATTGATTTGTTACATGCATTGTCGGAGGTCTCTTGTGCTAAAGAATGATTTATCAGTGGATTTGTAAAAGGGCAAGAACTTTTTCTTAGGGAGGGGGAGAGCTAATATTCATATATTGAGTTGTGCTCTACAAAGTCCTGTGTAAACTGAATTGGCTTACAAAGTGACTTTCAAAGTGAATTCACTTTTGAAAGTGAATTAGTTTTCAAAAATAGCCAGTCAAGCAAAACTGAATATACAAATATTCAACCACCCTCCCAATCAACGTTCTAATTAAAGTCACGTTCTAATCGCTATTCGAAAACCACGGACGTTGTTCTTGAGAAGCAACAGCAAATAGATTTCACAGCTCGATTTAGTTGCCAGGCCATAAATTACTAGGAGTTTTTGGCAAACTTTTATCCTTGTGCATCAAGCAAACAAAGCGGTGGAGGCATTATGAACAATATTAATTGTTATGTCTTTAAAGTAGTAATGTGAATATCATCTTTTCGCGGGAATAGAAAGTAAAGGTTTAGAAAAATTAAAACAAGCTGTAGAATTTCACCAATGATGTACAATTAAAATACGCTTTTAATCTAGTTTTGTCATCCACATCATTACTTTGCTTCCCTGTCGGCATAATATGGCTGTCTACGCCATGCTGGGCTATTTTCGTATGATTGTTTTGCTTTCAGACATCAAATGACTCAAAGCATATTTCGGTGCAAGCAGAATTGTAAAGTTTGATTTTGGTGTAATAAGCATTTGCTGTGCTGGTTTCTCTTTAGTTCAAATTGTTCAGAATTTGGCTTATTGTATTTAATAACTTACTTTAATAAAATGGCACGCATTCAACTGGAACAAAAATGCTTCGATGTACATACATGTAAATGCAGCCATCAACGCAGCTAAAGGAATAGAAGTTACAAATTATGGACATTAATTAAGACTACAAAGGCCTCGTTTACACTATACCTGTTTACTTTCGTAGCAGGATAAATTTTCTTTGGATTAAAACGCAGTGAAGTTGTTCAACGTCAGAAACATAGTCCAATAGATTAAGTCTATCTACTTAATAAGCTTTTACTCCGAACAGTTAACTCTTTTAATGCAAATGAAGATGACGTGAGAGCGAATCCGGTAATAGTGTCAACGCAGCCTAAGTATAGGTGCAAGCCTTAAATATGTCCGGGCAATTGTCAGGGCTAAAATTTTCCTAAAGCGCAATATGAAGCCAAATATGCAATGGAACTTTGCCGATTTGCTGCTTGTTCAAAGTTAATGTGGATTAACAAGTCACTAAAAATTGATCTAGTCTTGATCTAATCTCTAATCTCTACGAGAAGTATCATAAAGAACGTGGCGGCTTCAGCATGAAAAGACAATGGCTTTGTATAATTTGGTTAGGATAAGCACTAAACAAAAAAATGTATCAAGATTTACGTCAAATAAGGAATTCAAAATGCGCTCCTCAGTATTGCGAATGCGATAGGTAAATTATTTAAAATTTACTTAAATTCTGATTCTGATCACGTTTGTTTGTTATTTGTTTTCCATGACTGCTTTGGCGTATGTCTTTTTTTGGCTTGGTTTTGCATTTATAATAAAGTTCAAGTTGAGACAAAACTTGCAAAAAACGAAAATCAAACCTGATCACGCCAAACTTAAAGATGGTGGAAATTCTTTCTGTTCGTATGCCTACCAACGTATGCTTTTCTGTTTAATACAAATCTTTTTAATTTATTCTTCACCCAAGCTTTATCGCAACCAGATATTTGTTTCTATAAAAGGAAATTACGGAAATTAGAACACATCAGAAGCCAATTTACATCATGACTGCAAAGCGGCTATAGGCAACAGATTGTGACGTGTAACCATTGATCTGAAATATACTGGGTAACGCATCTAATTGCAAAAGTTGAAGCCAGAAATAAATTTGCCCGAATTGAAGTTAGGGGCCCCATTTTTTACAGATTTGTATTACAGAATCACAGTTTTTGCAATAATTTGTCTTTTACGTGTTTCTGATCGGGGCAGTTTTCTTATCACAACTATAGAAAGATAAGAAGAATACTTTGGAAGAAAATTTGCGGTTATTACGACTTTATAAACGCTGTGAAACTTGATTCGCAAATTTGAAGGAGTGAACAACTTCGATGTTATACAAGCTTTTTCTGAATAAGGCTATGATTCTTCACTGAATATCGATTCAAAATATAGATTTAATGATCCAAGACTAAAATAGTGTAGAAATAATGTTTGTCAACCATCTACATTCTTATCAGAAGCGAAAGGTGTTATCGAATACATTTGGACTTGGTTGTCTGGTCACTCTGGTGTGGGGAAATATACATGAACCATAAATATTCTTATGGATTCTTTTCAAATCCTGCAAAACCAGGCAGCCAAATTGGTACCTAACCTGGTTGTACTTTCCTCTGAGTTAGCAGTGTTATAGGATCTACACTAGAAAAATTTGTTACTTATTTCAAGACCAAAATACTTTTATGATCATAATACTTCTATGACTATTGACTGGATGTAAAAATTTAATAAATACTCTTCAATCAAACTTAAACAAGAGGCTACAGAAATCTTTCAATAGCCATATAGGAGACTAGAATGTGCTTCCTGATAAAGGAAGACTTAAGTGAGAAAGAAGCATTTTGGATGAACAATAGCAATTGGCAATTTTTACTATGTATAGATTTGATTATTGCTGAAACGCCTAACCGAAAAGCATCGTTGAATGATATTGGCCAGCTGTAAAAGGACTTTAAATTAAAGTAGATTAAATCAAAAGTTGAGCTGTCAATTGGGCATGTCTTTAAAACTACATGATATAGTCTTGTTGAGTTATTCCACAAATACAAAATAATGTAGCAATTTAGGAATTGTTTTTCTTGTCAAATTCACTTATTATTAAATCAGTGCTCACAGGCCATACTCGAAACATCCCTGTATTTTTTTCTATATAAAATAGGTTTTTTTGGCTCAGTTGGTTGAAAAGAAGAAGTTTTCCCAAATTATGTGGACAGTATTTGTTCGAAACATTATTCGTATCCCTCAAAAATGTCAGTTAAACTTTGATCAAGATCACACAAACTCGTTCTTATTAACAAGAAATATCTTACTAACATATAGAACCCACGAACAGACCAAGTAGTCTTGTATGAGCTATATCATATGGTTTTAAAGACTTACAAAATTAAAGTCGTCATTTTCAATTCTGATAGTAATAAAAATGATTGACTAAACCTAATTTTTACCCTACTTTCGTCCACCATCATAAATTCTACATTTAAAATCAATTTTGAGACAAAAATCGTTCGTCTTAGTTAGGACGAGCTTGTGTACTGTAGGGTTGTTCACTTCTTCAAATTTGCGAATTAAGTTTCATAGCGTTGTGAAGTCGAAATAACCGTAAATTTTCCTCTAAAGTGTTCTTCTTATCTTTCTACAGTAGTAATAAGAATATTGACCCGATCAGAAGTGTTTAAAAGGCAAAATATTGCAAAAACTGTGATTCTGTAATACAAGTCTATAGAAACGTGGGTCCCCAACTTCGATTCGGACAAATTTACTTCCGACTTCAATTTTTGCTAGAAATTTTGTATTAGCTGCGTTATCCAGTCTATTTCAAATCAGTGCGTGTAACCTAGTTGAGTTGAACCCATGGCAAACCTGCGTTATTAGTATTTAAATGCAAAAAAAATTAACCTGTGTTAAACCCGAGTAAGTTTACATCGTGCCATGTGAATAAGGCTATAAATAACTGTTAAAATTGAACTGAAGTGACAGTATCCTGTTTAAATCTTCATCTGCATTTAACATTCTTGGAATTATGTATGGTAGACCTGCTAACAAGTCGTGGGCAGTAATAATAGTTTTTTTATACATTTAAAACGATATGATGGACATTAGTATATTTTCTGCCGCTAACGTACGCCTTTACTGCAACGTCATCTATGATTTACTTATCATAAAAGCAAAATTAGGGATGTTGATTGCCCTTTATCGAAATGAGTAAATTTGACAATTTTTAGCATTCGACAAAACACATACGCACTTATTTAGTTGGGCAGTCGAGTCCGTCAATTTTCGGTCTTGTAAAGATTTCACGTTCGGCATTAAAAAAGTAAGGGGTCTTACTTTGTGTCTTTTCGGTGCACACGGATTGCACATTTTATAATCTTTCGTGTACAAACTCGCATGGAGGCAGAGTAAAAACAAGAAATATAGCCTTTTCTCTATGTATTTCAATCCCATTACTGAAATGCATTTTTTCCACTACTACTGACTACTTCCATAAGATACCGTGATATTGCATGGTGTTTTATGGAATCCATGATCTCTTTTTTAGTAGCGCAAACTATTGTAACTTGCTCGTAATTGTTGGGATAATTCGTAAGAGACCGACATAAGTAATAACATATGCGTGCTACAAAAAAACTTACATGGAATGGCCTTCGATGTTTCCCTTATTCTTTGCTTATTGATGAAAGTTTTATATGTCTAATTTGTAAAGTATTGCAACCAACAAACATTGACTCATTTATATTTACTATACACACTTTCCAATGAATATGAGCATGAAAGTAAGACCTCGACATAAGCCAAAACAAAAGCAAAACTAAAGTTTAATAAAAATTTTTAACATCTCTTTAAATGTTAATCACAGCGCTGTTTGTTCTTGCTCTTTGTGTCATAAATAAAAGATTATTTTAACTTTTTTACTATTTGTTGTCTGCTCATGTGACGTCAGAGCGGTCGTGTTTTTCCGTGGAAAAACCAAAACTCAACAGAGCATGAAATGCACATCAGTTATTTTTTCACTCATATTTTTTCTACCAGAATTAAAGACCACTGAATACGCACATTCAGTCCAACGTGCATCAATATATGAGTGTGAGCAGAATAAATTTGTAGTTTGAATTTGTTTATGTAGTTGACACACCAGATCCGTATGTGGTCTTAAGAGTTCGAACTAGTCCTAACATGAAGCAAAGAACTGAAACAAAGTCGAACACCAAAACTCCTGTCTGGAATGAGACATTCAAGTTTTACTTAAGCAATGAAAAAGAAAACAAACTGGGTATGTACCAAGCTTTTAATGTACAATGATGGGCGATAATATTTTGTTTTATACGGCAGTATGGTTTGTGCAAAAGATGAATTTTGAAAAAGACCATGGAAAGACTTCAGGAGCGGATTCAAATTTCTGAAAACTTCTGCACGTGTTCAGGTGTAACATACTTACACTCGCATACGTGCTCTTAAACTAATGTGTATATTAGACTTTTAAGATCTCGTGCAAATTCAGTAACTTTACTAATTAATGCCTTCTTAAGAATTTTGACTAAAGAAAGAGAGGTGACTAGCCACCCTTTTCACCCCCCCCCCTAAATCCACCCTCGATTTTAGGTGCATTTTGCAAGCCTTACATTGCACACCCATTTTTCGGAGAATTAATGCAAATTGATGATACCTGAATCTAATTATTTGCACGTAGCATTTTTCGACAATGGGGTTCACGCTCTCAGCCATTATTCTAAAGCAATTTGCATTGAGTTTATTTGATGTTTATGGCTTGTTTTCAGAAATCACAATGAACGATGACGACTTTCTCTCCGACGATTTTATTGGTTCTAGAACCATTGAACTGAATAAACTCCCTGTGAATCAAGTAATTTCAAGATCTGTGAGAATCAACGAGGTGGGGGGAAATGACAAAATTAGTTTTAAAAACCATATTTTTCTTTTAACATCATTTATTAACGGATCATTTCCTTCTTTCCTGAGAAAATTGTATCGAGTTATGCAAAATTTAATGAAAAAAGTAAAATTTAAAGAGCAAAAGTAACCTTTAAATGACTAGGTATAAAACAAGAATTATAAAAAATTTTTTTTTCTAAAGATTATGTTATGTATTTTTTGGCATTGTTCATACATTCATATTTGTGTTTGTGTAGAAAACAAGTCTTGAACTAAAGTTGAGTATCAAAACAGAGTAAGAGAATGATGTTCAATTTTTGCCATTTATATAAGTATCTATCAGTATCTTGCTGATCTTTTAAGTATGAAAAAAGAACTCAGACTGAGTTATGATTTATGTGAAGAAGAAAAAGAATTTCTGCACAAAAGGAATAACCTAATACTGCAACACATGGTCGAAGTTCTTGGAGACGAATACGGTCCAAAAACAGAAAACGAGGTCGTCTATTGGCTTTATATTGAGACAATGTTAATTTTGAAACTGAACACAGAGTCTTTATTTTCCTTATACCTCAAATTCAGGTACCTGTGGTTGCAATAATGGGATCAGGAGGTGGCTACAGGGCTGCATGTGGATTATCAGGTGTATTTAGCGCACTTCAAGAATCGTGTATTCTGGATTGTGCTACCTATGTAGCTGGACTCTCTGGCTCATCATGGTATGTAACTATAGTTTTTATAGCTACGTTAATGAAGTGTCTTAAACATGATTTCAAACTTTGCAATTATATAATGATGAATGAAATAAATATTATTTATCGGGTGGGATATCCGGATTGAAAAAAATTTTCCCGAGGTCTCTAAACAACCCCAAGGCCGCAGGCCAAGGGACGTTATTGAGACGAAGGGGAAATATTTTTCTATCCAGACCGACCTATAGAGTAATATATATAACGTGTATGTTTATTTTGCTAAAGGCAACAGTCTAATTGAATTGTACAGTCAGATTCAACAATGGCGGCAAAATAAAACGATGAAAATTTTACTGTTAATTTTGCTTTAAAAAACTCAAAATTGACTTAAAGTAAATAATTACAGCCAAAATTTGGCTGATTATTCGAACAAAACAAAAGAAAATGAAACAAAAAAGAACGAAACAAAAGAAAACGAAACTATAAGGTAAAATACCGTAAAATTCCACCCGCTGCTACAGTTCCGCCTGTTGCTATTTAGCCAATCAGATTGTGGGAAAGGCTTGCAATCTGCCCGCGCCGATTTGTGAAAAAATAATTTAATATTTTTTTATACATGTTAAACCATCTCCATGCTGTTGTTAATATTTAAGGTACTTATCAACACTGTATCACAAACCCGCCTGGCCAACAAGCATCACTTGCAATAACATGGCCGATGAATTGCGGGAAAGATTTAACAAAAGTCCATTGGAAAATCTTAAGCTGAATTTTATTTCGCGCTTGAGAGCAAAAGAAAAACGAGGAAAAATCACCAAATTGGTGGACTTATTTGGATATTTCATTGGGGAAAGCTTACTTGATGTAAGAACTCGCTTTTGTTGGTATTTGCAACACACGTTTTTGTCTTTTGAAAAAATTAGATGAGTAAACAAATTTAACGGAGTTGGTCGATTCAGACTTCAAAATTGGTCTTATTCTTCATGTTGTTTTGCAAAATTTTAATCCAATGTAAAAAAATAAGCAAACAAAAGGTTTTAAGGTCGAGTACAATCTACAAAAGCCTATAATTCTATACGTCTAATCTGCACTCTTGACTCTATGTACAATAATTAAAGACCAGGTGAAGTTGAATATATTGCAACGATTGAAGTAGACCATGGGCCCAATCGGAAAAAGTCGTCTCGAAATAACATTGCCATGCATCCATGGAGGAAACAGCTGAATTTTACGAAATAGTTAGTTTATATTATATTCATCATTTGCCGAAGGTATGTCAAATCTATAAGTTGCACATTAAGTAGAAAATGAGCGTTGCTTGACTGCGTTGTTGAACAACGATGTCCGCCATCTTGAAACAAATTCGCTACGCTTGCACATAGCCTCCAAAACATCACACAAGAAATAATAATAAACTGGTTTGAGCCCGGGAGTATCGTTCATGTTTGTAGATGCATATCATCCAGGTTAGTTAGTAGAGTCCTGAGATAGGCTGTTTTTGTTGTTGTTGACTGACGTTTCGACAACCTTAGCGGTAGTCATCGTCAGAGTCAAATATGACTCCCTCTCAGGACTTACTAACCTGGACGATCAACATCTACAAACATGTAACACAGGAAATGAGTTATGATGTAAAGAAATCTTTAAAAAAAATCTGAAGTGCACCAGTTTAAAATTGTCATCACAAAGAAAACATGAAAAGTATATGTGATAAAACGACTGCTTATAAAACATCCAATAGTATATTTTTAAGAATATTTCAAAAGCATATATATCAACGTTTTCAAACTAGTATTTCACAAAACAAACGAAAAAAGGGCATTGATTAAACCAAAATTCATCAATACTATGCTCCAATTATATTTTCTGCTTTAGTTTGTTAATGAAAATGCTAAGTCAGCCGTGAGTCCAGATCCATTGTGAAAAGTTATGACTTTGAGCGTCTTAGTCGTCAAAATTTATGTTCAGAAGCTTTCTTGTCTGCGTCATTACTTGCAATATGAGTACACATTTGGAGCCTTGTCATACTGTATGTCAAGTATACTTGTGAATGTTGGACATGACAGCCCAACTACAATATAAAAAGGTTAATAAACAGCAAAGCTCAAAAATTGAAAAAATGGACTCATAGCTCAACAAATGGCATAACATAAGAAAGCAAACACGATATCTCAGATATCATCTATCAAAATTATAGTTTAATATTGAAATTACACATCGCTCTAGTTAGTTTTAAGCAACATTGGAAACTAATTCATACAACACGCATTTCTTAACTTTACGGAACAAAAAAAAACACCGAAGAATCACAACCATTCTGAGTAGTATTTGAAGTAATTTTCGAATAATAAACTAAAATTGAAAGGAAATGTAGCTTTGAAATTCAACTGGAACCAAATAATCTTACATATACTGAAATACAAGTCGCCAAAACTGAAAGTTCCGTATGATGATCGTCTTGTTTCTCTTTCTCTCATTCTTATTTGCCTGTTCTTTTCTCTTCGCAGCATTTTGACAACGAAAAACTGACTGTAACAATTGCAATGGAATTTGTAGAGCGCTGTTATGGGTACAAAACACTCTGAAGTGCGAACATTTTCAGCGAAAGACAAATTGTCGACGTAAAGGTCGTCAATTAGCTCCAGAATTTGACGCGGATTCCTGAGCCATTTTGCTTTATTACATGAAATTTATCTACATTTAGCATTAGAAAAAGTAATCATACACCAATATGCACTATTTTTGATGTGCATAACGCAAAAAACTCGTCATCCGAGTGAGAAACTTCAGCAAGCTTTGTTGTTCGCCATTGTTTACCAAGGGTAGTGAAAGACCTTTCTCCCCGACGCTACCTAATTGGTTGAGGGCAACACTCTTCTTGCTTTGATTAGCTAAGACATAAAAACATAACATCGATTTCACTTTTCTCTGATTATATATTCAAGATAAAATAATCGATTTTTCTCTTTAATGTTTACAGTTATACAATTGACATACATGCTAAAGTTGATAAGTACTAGTACAGCAACATGACACTTAAAAATTTCTGGTTCCTCGATGGAAGCAAGAAAAAATCCCAATTTTCGAAGTGTGCCCATGCCCACTGGATCTAGGAATTTCACAGTAACATTCACAACAAACTCTTTCTACAGTGGACAAATGATTCTCTAGAGATACGCACATAAAATACAAAACACGTATTTTACATTCTTACCTTCTTGACGAACGTTTGCAGAAACTTATTTAGAATCGATGCCATGTAATTTGTGTTTTAAACTGATAATTTGGAAACACTCAGCCATATCGGACACCACATTTGTAAAACGTTTCTAATAGTTTGATAAACGTGATATTCTCTATTACAGAACACTGGCGCTAAACTAAGCGACCAATGCTATCGAGTTAAAGATGCGCATGCTCCGTTGCCTATCACAGCCGCTGTCCACGTGCGCCTGGATGAACCGGCAAAAGAATTCAGTGGTAATGTTTTCATTCAACGTAATTTATTTAGTAGCTATAATCATTTTAAATATGACCTGACCTCTGAACTAATTATAAGTGGAAAATATAGCTAAGAAGGTCGCTTTCCATGTATTGGTAGATCAGCGGACGCACTGTTTGGAAATCTCAATAATAATCGGTGCTATAAACAGAGTAGAATTACAGTCTGCATTTATTTTCAAATTCCACTCACAGCGGCCATACAAAAAAGAAATAAAGTTTTTTATTGTATTTTCTCTGTTTTTAGAATGGGTTGAATTCACACCGTATGAGTACGGTTTTGCCAAGTATGGTGTGTTCGGAAAGACAAAAGATTTTGGCGGGAAATTCTACAAAGGACAACTTGTAAAGAAATATAAAGAGCCACAACTGTCGTATTTGCAAGGTAGATCAAACTTCAATAAGTTGAATAATTTGAAAGGGGGAGGGGCACTGTGATGTTCGCTACAAACTAATTTTCTCGCAAAGAGATCTTTAAAGAGCCCAAAGTGAATTTTAGGCATATCAAATACAATTTTGCATAGCAAAGGTCGACCCAATAATTTCACCACTTCTTAAAAACCTCAGAATGATTTTATAGAAAACCATCTTGATGTTTCATTTTTAGGTATTTGGGGAAGTGCTTTCAGCATAATTTTAAACACATTAACTAATAAAGACGACAAGTCAGATCACGAAATTCAAAGCGAAATGGGTAAGATTGAGAATGTGTGATATCTCTCTTAAGAGTTTCCGATACTTTTCTCGCTTTTCATTTCTCTTTCACAGCCAAACATGCTTTGAAGGAAGCAAAAGAATGCAAAACTGAAGCAGACGACAGCGACGAGGATGATGACGAAGACGAAAAAGAAAATGATAGCGAAGATGGGCCAAAGTCACCTGAAGATGTATACGAAAGTACGTCTTCAAATATCATTTATTCAAATAGGCAAAAATCAACACTGTGCAGTTATGATGAAAAAATAAAATTGGTCAATAACTATAAATCAAGGTTTTGCGTTCTTGATTCTGTTTTTTATTTCTTTACATATTCTATTATATCCTTTAAAATTTGTGGATCCCCACAAGTCGTACATGATTCCATTAAAATGGTGTTTAAAGTGCTTTTTATGCAAGATGCTTTGTGCGCATGACTTCAAACGTCTTTCATGTTCATTTCTGAAGGTAATAAGTGGTGGTTATTGGAAGCCCTAAACCCATTTAACGTGATGTCGAGTCGTCGAGGAAAAGCTGCAGTGGTTTTTAATGCTTTACGGGGATTGGAATTCAAAAAAGAACAAAGTAACTATAACTGTTTACAAATAATCTTGTCATGCATAGAGTTACTTATGGAAACATTTGCTTAATTTTCACAATATGTATCAGTCGTTGACATTGATTATATCATTTGCCAGATGATACTTATAACAAAGTGACGGGATATCAAAAGACGATTTGCCTCGTCGACGCTGGTATTGCCTTTAACTCTCCATATCCAGTTTTGCTACGACCTGAGCGAAAAGTTGAAATAATTTTGTCGTTTGATTTTTCTCAACGAGACGGCGGAGATAAAGAAAAACCATTTTCTGTGAGTTGCAAATTTAATGAATCATCTACAGTAACAAATCCAACACTTAGCGCTCTCACTTTCGCACAAAAGTTCCATGTCGATATACGCTGAAGGAATAACCTCATAAAACTATCTAAAATACGGCTGCTTCATGCCCAAAGCGCTAATTATAGAATGTTTGTCTGTAATTTGTCAAAAACAATGGACTTTTTTTTGACTCTATAAATATTTTTTTAAACAATTTTTAGGACAAATAAAAGCGATCGAGAATTTATTAATTTACAACGTTTCGATGCTTCTTGCAACATTTTGAAGTAATAAAACAGTAGTTGGAACCATTAATTCATATACTTAGAATGCATTTACTTATTCAATCAAAGTCCAATTTGTAATAAACTTAGTAGAGCCGAGCTCTAGAAAAAATAGTGAATTGAAAATAATAACACTGCTATGCTAGAATGTCTACAGCTAAAATATCTACAAACTAATAAAGAACAACTGAAAAACAATAATAAATCCAATCCTTATTGAATAAAAAAACATATTGTAGAGCAGGCATTCATGATTTCATTCTAAGCCTCAACGGCATTTATTTTAGAGTGAAAAACTTTTTTCATCTTGATCTGAATTTCACTGTGTAATTTTCTCGCGTGTTTGCCAATTATCGTGTTTTTGTGTTCATCAATGCGCTGGTGCAAATGTCGGCATGTATTTGTATCATACAGATGACTACACGGCCCACAACACATTGTTGAGTTATATGAGACGGTTTTAGCTCTTCGATACTCACCATACTTATCAGTTTCTTACTTCGAAATACTGGTCGTAGCAATAGATAATAATAAAAAGATCAAATAACATTAGATATGGCATAAAGACAACTCAGTTATTTTGGTATGACGGACTTTGATTGAATACATTGATGCGTCTTAACTATTATTTTATTGCTTGAATGTGATACATAATGCATCGAAGCATTGTAAATTAATAACTTCAGATCGCTTTTATTTGCGCATATTTGAGCTCTATATAAGTTGAAAAATTTTATAACAGCTACATGCATGTATATGTAACAACTCGTAAAACTGAAAAGTCTGCCAAGAGAAACAGGCTTTGTGTCCTCCTAATCATACTACTCAACGTGCCTGTATCAATATTTACAGGCGTACGGGAGCTATAATTTTTGGGGGGCAGTAAATATTTTCCCAGCTCACAAATAAGGTTGTGCTGAAGTTTCACCCGACTAACGTGAAAAATTTGCCCAACTCTTCAATGTATAAACTTTCTTGTGGGGCTGCTCCACCTGCTTCACCGTCCTGTACGCCTATGTCAATATTTCTTTATTTAAGTTCTCTTGTTCGTAATAACTCGCGTTTGAAAAGGGTTCAGGAACAATAAAATGATTCTATACAGTGTCACTTTTTTCGAGGACATTGTGTAAAGAAGAGATCTTGAAAATCAGCTCAAAGTCATGCTCACCATATCTTTGTAGGAACTTCTGAAAGCAGAAAAGTGGGCGAAGGAAAGTGGGTTGCTGTTTCCTCCTATAGAAGGAAACACATTGCTGGATAAACCTGAGATTCAAGAATGTTATGTATTTCAAGATGCTTCCAATTCAAAGTGTCCAGTTATTTTACATTTTCCAATCGTAAACAAGACATTTAGAGAGTTCAGCAAACCAGGTAAAAGCATATGTACGTTAAAGACATATGAATTTAAAATCATTCTGTTTTCCTTTTATTCTCTTTGTTCACAATATCTCTTGTATTGTAGGGGTACGTCGTGTGACAAAAGAGGAGAAGGACTTTGGTAACTTCCCAATATTTGACGACCCCAGTCAACCATATTCATCGTTCAAGTTTGAATACACCAAGGAACATTTTGACCGACTCCATCATCTTATGAAGTATAACACTTTGGCAAACATGCAAACCATTAAAGATGCGATTTCTGCCAGAGTTCAATTCAAAAGAAATAATATCAAAGAATAGGGAGAACTTTATAACAACTTGCCAACTAAATCATAATTGTTGACTTAAGTTTCTAAATGCATTTTCTTTGACTGTAAGAACGGTAGCATTGGCATAGACGTAAAGTTTTTTGTTTTTGTCTTCTTATCAGTATTCGCAATATTTCATTTAACGCAGCTTAACAATCAAGTGTCAAGACAATATTACAAAGATGACAACATTAAATGAATATGTTTGGAAAATTTGTGATTGTTTGTAATCTGCGGCAGTTCTGCAATCTAAAAGGGCTTCATCCTTATGACTTGAAAATTGTGCTGTTTGTAAAATAGCAACATTCCGTGGTTTCATTTGCGGTTATAACTGAAAATAACCATAACCTGGTATAGCAGAAACGACACAGTTAGATAATCAGGGATTCTGATTTCAAACCTGTTTGGTTGTAATGCATCCAATTTAACATGATCTTGGGCGGCCTGTACCGTCTTGTAGCAAAGTATCCCGTCATTTCGTAGTCTGCCTTGCGCGCAAGACCAAAATCCAATATTTGCGATGAAATTACAAAACCATTTAAGTCTTTTATAACATGGTAGTAAGCATCCGGTGAAATTGCGCAGTTCATTTGCCTCAGCAACATATTTGACGGCCCTATTTGACGGTCCTAAAGCAAGTTTTGTAAAAAGGAAAAAGCGAAACAAAAAGCACATTTACGATTGTGAATCGGAGGAAAAAAACTCGGAAAATTAATTTTACTAACTGGACGATACAGTTTCAGACTATTTATTTTATATAGACGAAAACTTGAGGAGTAAAAGCCAATTCATGCAAAAACAGTCAAAAAGAAATAGGAAAGTTTTGGTTCAGGTCAAATGATGCCCATAAAAAGTAATAAACGCTTTATTTACCTTGCTTGCTCGGTCTTTACAGCGGAAGCTCAGCCTGCAGCTACAAAAAGGCGTCGACAAAAAATGCTCTGATCACTTATCACCCTTGTAGCATTTTGCAACGAAATTTTCCAGACAAATCTCTCCCGAATGACGTTGATTTATTGAAAAGCTATAAAAATCTATTATCTAAATCTACAACAAAACACTTAATGTATGCTCCCTCGGGAAATAGCGAGTCTTATTTTCCCTTTAGCTTTATGTAACATTAAGACTCGTTGAAAAACAAAACTCAATATTTCCCTCGGAGCATACGTACCGGCATTAAGTGTATATTAACAAATTACAAACACAAAATACACAGCTAGTTCGTTTACAAAGCTCTTTCAAAAAAATAAAAACATTACCCTCAGAGAAATTTCAGTCAGCTTTAATCGTTTGGAGTATTGGACGCATCTCAAAAAATTTCTCAAATAATGAAAAAATTTTAATAGCTATATATGATGCATCATGTGATAAAACCCACAGTTATCTACGAAGTACTCTCATTTTCATTCGAAAAAAACTAACAAGAAAGCAAAAAAGGAAACGAACCCTTAATTCACAATCTTTGTTTACTGCAATGTTGCTTAGTTTCAAGTCGTGTAATATTTGAAGCGGACAGATCAACTTCAACGAAAGTTAGAACAGGGGCAAAACTAAAACGTTAAGTGGAGGGTGGGGGTGGTAATATTCATATATTCAGCTTTTCTTCACTGATTTGAATTGTGAGCGATTGTAATTTCAAAAGGAATCAGCAGGGAAGAGCTGAATATTCACCCCACACTTAGCGTTCTAGTTTCACTCCTCAGTTGAATATTTAAGGAGAAAACAATGCAGCCCTCTACTAAGAAGATACATTGTAACACAAACGTTTCCCATGATACTCGTTAAAACTATAATGATGGGAAAATGTGCTTGTCAGTACAAGAAATAAGCCCTATCATTCAGATAGTTTGGTAAAACTTTGGTAAATATTTATGGTTGTTGATGATGTGTTGGTGTTAAAATAAAATTATTTATGTGAATACAAAGATGTGGTCTAAACAACTAAATTCTATGTAGCTACATATGACATTTATGTCTGAAATAGTGAATTTATTTTGAAATTGCTTGTTCATCTCAATTAGACATCGTTGACTACAATCTTCTCTGTCTACTTGTTTTTTATTAAAACAGTTTGTATATCCTGATTTAAAAAAGACAAGAAATATTACGTGGCTTATTGTTGCAATTAATTGTCAAAATGAGGGATAATTTGGCCGCTTTAAATTGTGATGCTTAAAACTTTGATAAATGATTATTAGTACATACAACGTGTGGAACTTATTCTCTTAAGGAGGATATGGGGACACTTGATTAATTCTCTTACTGAGCTTGGTTTGATATTTTCTTTACCTAGGTGAGCTAAAACTCGCGAATATTTTTTGTCTACTTAAGATTTGGGGTCTTGTTCACACGATGCCGGCTTGAAAAGTATGAAACTGTAACGCTAAACATAATTATTTAAAAACGGTACGTGTAGCCGTAATAATATGAAAACGGTACGAAGCTATACCGTTTCCTTTACGTATAAACATCTTACCTTAAAGAGTTTCAATCATGACTTATTTTCAGTTAATACCCGACGTCACATTATAATGTCATACCTACGTGAAGGATGGTTAGCTGCAGACGCGATTAAGCTAGGCTGACTGCCTTGGAGTTCAGGCTCATCCTTTAACCTGCTCCTTTAGGACATGACCACCATAGGGAATTTCCCAGAAATTTCCCATCCAAAGGCACTACTGAAATTAAAAAAAGTTTTCAACCTACTCCACCCACCCAATCCGTGCGACTATTTTAAGTTCAACATTGCAAGCCAAAAACAGCAGTGGTGCCATGCCCGATGCTTTCTTTGCCGTTACTTATCTCGCGTTGATGGTGCAAACATCCAAAGCTTTCTTTGTCGTTACTTATCTCGTATGAGTAAAGTGATTGACTATGCTATATTACCCGCAAAAAACATCAGCGTTTCCTCTGAAGTTGGTAAAGGGGATCCATGGGCGTTCGGCCCGCCAGAACAGTGACAAAACTCTATGAAATTGACAGAATTGGGAACAGCTCTATATAAGCAATGCTACGAGAGCTTTGTGTCGATGACCAGGTCCCCTGAAACCATTCACCTTATATATGCTCCGTATCCTAAGCCCCGGATGCATCAGTTGAAATAAACATGTCAGCCACAGGCACTCAGTCAGGCAAGTTAAAAAAGAAAATCCCGTCCCACGTTGGCAGGAGTGAACACCACCACGTGATATCTAGCTTGCATTCCTAGTTTAGGCGGATAAAACGTGACTTTCCGCAAGAATGTCCTTTTAGCAAAGCGACTGGCAAACGTCCGCCCATATGGTAGAACAGCGCAAGCATGATTAAGTTTCCCAACTAAGGAGTGCAGCTCCTTTAACTTATATCATCTTTTGCTCTCCCAAGCGTTTAGATGACTAATAAGTTCATTTTCAAGGGGAGTAAGGCTAACATGCTAACGGAGTCCAATTCGATCCCCAAGAAGATCAGCACGTTATCGGACTCAGACAGTCAGACACTTTACTATAGGTCAAAGAAAAGTCGTTTTACTTATGCCATCGTTAACGCTGCAACCGTTTGGAAAGAAAAAATCGAGGATAAGACGCCAGCCGCACCATCCTTTTTGAGAAACCGCCAAAAACGGCTGACTTGCAAATTATCCAATGCAGGCTGCTATGTTGGACCGTAGACCCTCCCCATCTTAAATTCTTCAGCTAAATATTCGTCTATAATAGTAAAATGGTCAACAGTAGATCCACAATTGTTTTCGCAGATTTAAGAATTTGGCGCTATTTTTAAAACCCAGCCGAAAACCATTCAAAAAACCTGTCAGAATATAATCAACTTTTTGTTGGTCGAGATGGTTACCTAAGTACAATGCAAATTTATCCACATTAACTGGCGAAAAATCGGAAATATCAGAAATATATTTTTTAAAGGTAGTTCTAAGGAAACAATTGTAATCAAAACTGTCACAAGCATGATTAATCGCGTTTTGCTCTCCTGCGATTTGGCTCGATGACAGGACTTCTCCCATGCTTTTGAGGGAATTTGCGGCAGTTGATTCTCCAGTGTATACCCCCCCCCCATTCATAATTTGTCGTTTTTATGGCGAAATCTATAGTTTTCGTATAAATTAATACAATGACCGTTATTCCATGATTTACATACGATTGATGCCTCTGGATCACCCCTAGGCACCCGCATGCGCGACTCACGATGTAAAATTGCTTGCCCAGAAGCTGCAGTATGGTAATGATAAAAGTCGGAGTTGATTTGACTCCAGTTGCTTAAACCTGTGACGGCCGCCTCAAGACGAAATGCGCAGTCGTAGTTGTGCCAGCACCGCGTCCAGGGAATTGCTTCGCAACGCAAATAGTCAAAGCCATGTAAGCCAGCAAATCTCGCGCTCGATTTGGGTGGGATGCGGTTATAACCGCCACGTACGCGTTAAAATATTCTATCCAAGACAATGTATCACTTATTTCTGACTTCTTTCGCGAAATATATGTACTTGACGTCTTGACGGGATTATTGCTCCACCTTCATCGTGAAAGAAGGTGGATCAACTGCAGCACAGTATAGGGAAAAAACATTAGGGCCACTTCGCTGTGCAACTTGCTTCTGTTTATTTAATTAGTTTTCTAGCTGCCGCTTGCCATATCGTCAATCCAATTGGTCAGAAAATGCAATTTACTGGCTACCAATATGGTAATCACATGTGTAATAAGATATGCGTGGAATGAAAAAATTCAATGGAGTTGCCCTACTTTATGTTCTCTATACTGTGACTGCAGTTGGCTTCAGATTATCATGCAATAGGTCACACTAATTTTTAAGGAATTGGAGGTCGGCCAGCAGTCACAATAAGAAATTAATTAAGTTCAATAATCTCAAGCCCTGAATGAGAGGTGGTAATCGCAGCCGATAAGGGTACCGTTGATGCGGCTGACATGGTAGTTATAACATTAGTGTCACTATTTTGATTTGGTAATTCAGAGGACATGCCAACAAACAATGGAGTAGACAACTTACCTGATTTGGCTGAATCAAAAGACACCTCAACTAGCTGTTCTAATCCAGAAAGCGTTGCTCTTCGATTGTTTTCTTTTCTTATAGCCAACGCCCTTGCAAGAGCATCGGGCACTATAGACTGAATTCCCGCACGAAATTCGCTTCGCGTCAAATTCAGAGGAAAGGCTTCACTTTGTTTGAGGTCGAGATTGTCAACAAAATTTGGCAAGGACATTTTTATT